ACCGAGAACCGGGATCATATATGCTCTTGTATGCATAGCGTACATGTTTGCACAACTACTGGTGTGTGCATACACATGGAAGTAGACTCTGCTATATGCAAGCAGGCAAGCAGGCACGTAGGTAGATCCGCGAGTTCTTGGGGATGAATGATTTGTTGTGTTTTCACTTCTACAATGATACAATGATTCGATATCTTAAAGCGACAGTAGCATGCTTTTTGTCGTCAAGCACGTTTCATTTGCATGCCCACGGGTATGCATGTAAACGCCTGCACGCACACACACACACAGAGTGATGCTGCAGCTTCGGCAGAGATCTTACGTGCAAGAGCGCGTGCGTGTGTATGCTATTGCTTGTGACTATATAGCAGGAAGTCAACCATGAAGTATTATGCGGGTGATATGCAGAGGACGTGGATTGCCGTCGCCGGAAGCACATGCTCCTTCATGCGGAACAGATCCTTTCGTTGACAGGATTTTGCCCAAGTCCCCCGTAGCTCAGGTAAAGTCTGCGCGCATGGCTGCGACTGCTGCCAGCGACGATCCCTTCGTCTGGCTGGAAGAGGTAAACGGCGAGAAGTGTCTGGAGTGGGCCAAGGAGACGTCAAGACCCCGAAATCCTTGGGCACGAGCTTCAAGGTCGTTTCTCGTCATAGGAAAGTCTGAGAAAGCATAGAACATCATGATAACATGGGCTTCTTTATTGAAAACTAGATGTCCTATTGCATATTCTCTGTCATGTGCTACTTAGTGAGGTAGAGGTCGACCCGCACGGAATGGTACGCTGTTGCCCGCAGCCCCTAAACCCTAAACCCTAAACCCGCAGGACAAAAACGAGGTGACTTTTGCAAAGTTTGGACGGCCTGACTCGGCTCCCCTGTGTCTGGGCAATGCATGGGGTGCCACTGGTATACATAAGGTTTGGGGGTCCTGAACTAGATCTATATATATATATACACATAAGTTTATAATTGTAATTATATTATACTATATATACAAGTACTATTGTTATATATGTATACGATAATGTCGATGTATATATATATATATATGTGTGTGTGTGTGTGTATGGCTAAATACTCAAAAGAAATAGCTGTCTATCTATATATATATATACAGATCCTATAAGATTCTTACATGCAGGCCCCTAGTTGGGGATCAGGATTGTGATGGGAGCCACGTGTCTCCTTGCGGGTGCGCAGTGCAAGGAACGGGGCCGTTGATCCGGTCCAGGGTTTACCTACACACAGTCTTTTTTGGGGGTGTGTGGTGTTGGGTTTAAAGGGATCTATAAGGGTTCTATAAAGGAATCTATAAGGGGTTTAGGGTTTAGGGTTTAGGCTTTCGGGTTTAGGGTTTTAGTCTTTTTTGGGGGTGTGTGGTTTAGGGTTTAGGCTTTCGGGTTTTTAGTTTTAGCCTTTTTGGGGGGTTTGTCTTGTAGGGTCCCAAACAAAAGGCTGGCTGAGCACAAGAATGAACTACAATGGAGACTATAGGTAATTTCAGGGGCTCAGACTTGCAGTGGCGGTGGTGTGTGGAAAGCCATTTTTCTTCTAGGTGTAAACCCGACAAGTCTGATGAGAATCAATCGTTTCGGGCTTAGCTTCTGCTCGGACCGAGGTGGGGTAGCAGGTTCGATGGCAAACGGGGAAGGTTCCTTCTTTGTTACGCCGTATCTGCTACCAGGTATGGCAAAATTCTGGAAATTTTGGAAAGCAAAGACAAGATCGCATATGCATCTCGTCGCTTTCGGCTTGGCTGATCTCCCAAGGACCCGAAGCCCCGAAAGCACCGTAATCCCGAAGCTTAAGGGAGTTCAGGGTTTGAGGTTAGGGTTTAGGGTTTAGGGTTCAGGGTTTGAGGTTAGGTCAACCCTAAAGCCTGCAAGCACTGAACTTGCTAGTCAGACCACTGAACTCGGACCGCTTTGGATTGGTTGATTCGGGGTTGCGCAGCAGATTTTTAAATATGGCTAGAGAGAGCAGGCTTAGCCATAGCGTGGCTGTACAGCGGGTAGGTTGGTGGCGGGAGCTGCCTTCAGGTAGGTACGGCCGGCTCGGGTTCAGGAATTTGTCCAGTGCATCTTGCGCTCTCTCTCGCTCTTTACGTCTCCCTCTCTCTTTGCCCCCCTCCCACTCTCTCGCTCTCTCTCTCTCTCTCTCTCTCTCTCTCTCTCCCTCACGCTCTCTCGCTCGCTTGCTCGCTTTCGCTTTCTTCTTGCAGGTATTTATGGAAACGGGTGTATGTAAACATGCATGCACACAATCAGAAACAATGATGACTTACGCATACGTGCCTCATCCGGTATGCATCATAGGCATGTTTTGTCGTAGTGGCTGAGCCGATGTTGACATGTGTCAAGGCAACCGGTACCGCGCCTACAAAACAAGTAGATTCCATTTACGTGCTCTTCGAGCGGAGAGGCAGCAATGACAAGCTCCCAGGTACAAAAAATCGACGACTTTTACTACAACTTTTGGCAGGACCTTTAAATAGACTTCGGGCACATGGAAATGTTCGTCAGTTTGATTTGCATCACATGTTCTGCCGGAGCTGTAGACAGCACCCTCACTTCAGAAGCTGATGGGCTTTGCTTCGTTGATTTGTTGGCTTTGGTGCCAAGTCGGACACTGCACAAATATAACCTCTCCCAGCCAGAAGCACACTTCGGGGTGGTAGATGTGTTGTTTTGCGGAGATCTCCATAGATGGGTAGTTCTCTAAATTAGGGTCGCTTTGTAGGTCCCCAAGTACGGCACCCTTCTAATAAGGACCCGAAAAGGGACCCTAACTTAGAGAGCTGCCCTCCCATACCAAAGAACACCCATCCTGTGTGGAAGTCTCCGAAAATTAGGGGTACCTTCTTTTGGGGTCCTTATAATAAGGATCCTGCTATTTAAGGTACTATATTAGGGTCCCCAATTTTCGGAAACCCCCACCAAAGAACACCCATCCTGTGTGGGTCCTGGGAGCTTCCAGGAAGTGTGCAAGCCCCGCTTGCAAGTTCATGGGTAGTTCTATGTGTGATAAGTCCCCTCATATGGGTTATAGTTAGAATTAGTCTACTTATATCTATAACTCCCCATGAACCTCCAGGTAGTTCTAAGTGGAGTTATCAATCCCTCAGTTTTTCGAATTAAATTAGCTACCCTGCTTATAACCCCACTTATAACCCCCTATGAACCTTCAGGCAACTCCAAGAGCAGCAACACTGCATGTAAAGTGGGCGGATGTTTAAAGGTGTGCTCTTTAAGGGCTTCACAAGGGATCTATAGCGGTTGCTAGTTGTACTATAAGGGATCCTTAAGGGTTGCGGCCAAATCCCAACACGCAACTGTGCTATCCGCTGTCTTGCAGAGGAACTCGGAACTATTGCCCGTCAGTCTTGAGCCATCCCAAGATTCACAAGAACACTTGGATCCTATGTCCTAAACTCCAAGCGCGGGGAGGATGCTGACCACATCAGGGGGATTTGGCGTCGCTGCACCCTCGAGGCGTGATGCGATCCGAAATACTAGTCATGGAGTAAGAAGCAAATAGTTAGATGCTGACACAGGATTGTGGTAATAGCTACTCATATGTGGTTTAACAACGAGAATAAAAGTAAGTTGCTACACAACATGCAAAAAACACTGCATAGATTTTGTGGGTTCCATTTCCTGAGGGTGCTTTGTGTTATTCTACCCACGCTCGCGCTGAAGTTTCTAGAGTAGGAATGCCACAGCAGAATCAACCCGGGGGAATTCGAGCAGGAAGGTCAGAATGAGGCCAGGAGTAGCCTTGAGGCCTAGCTACACGTACCTTATCTCACCCCAAAGCAGCCCGTGAGGCTGTGGCAGTTCAGAAAGTCCTTGAAAGAGTCTAGAGTCTAGACTTTCAGGGTCACAGATCAGAAAGCACCACCCCCTCTCCCCAAATCCACAGACCCAAGCACGCATGCCGGCAGCTTGCCAGGAGTACAAAAAACCTGCGAAAGAAATTCAGTGGGAGCTCGTCCTGGATCTTGACGCCCTCGGCAAGGAGCCAGAAAGTACAGGGATCATGCCCACAAAGCAGTGTCCAGGAGGTCTTCCGGCCTTTTGCTTACAGGTCTTCCGACGTTCGGACCGGGGCCCCCGGGTGATCAATCGAAAGGGCCTTCATCTTAGCTCCTGAAACATGTCGTTAGAATCTGAGTCCCGGCTTTGTGATAGTTTGGGATCTCACTGTTCCGACAAAAAGCCCCAACCCAAAAACCCTAAACCCTAAACCCTGTAAAGCCCTGACAGCCTTGAGCTGCCGGTGAACTTGGGCAGGAAGAAGGCGAAAGCTGGGTCTGGCACAGCCCAACTTTCATCGATGCTTGGGTCTTTTATTGGAGTGTTTTGGGTTTAGGTTGTTTTGGCAGAGTCTGGGTTCAAAAAAGGGTTTTTTGTAAGTTTTCTTTGAGGGCTCACTGAGCCGCTCAAGAATTCATGGCTCTCTGATTGTCAGGCCGAAGTTATTTCGACGGTTGCTACAGGATAAGATAGCTTATCTTCTGTCGTATACCTGGTATGCTAAAGCCTTCAAACCCTAATACACCTTATTTCAAGATCAGCACGAAGCCTCAAGCTTCAAAGTCCTGAGCCCGGGACGTCCCCCGAAATCCTGCACCGCCAAACCGGGGCTCTCCTCAGCCCATGTCCTGGCACGCCAGGATGCTAAGACCACGCCCGCACGTGCTGGGCTGCTGGACCTAAGATGCGAATCTTCCGAGACAACCTTGGGCCCGAAAACCCACCTGCGCATCTGGCGGATGTGAAAAAGACGACAGCGACGACAAGACTTGAGTTAGGAGTTTCCGAAAATAAGGGTACCTTCTTTTGGGGTCCTTATAATAAGGATCCTACTATTTAGGGTACTATACTAGCGTCCCCTATTTTCGGAAACCCCCCCAATTTGGAAAGTTTGCTCATCTGGACACGGGTGCCCTTGGCAGGACAGGATCTGGAGCGGCGAACCAGAGCACCAAAATATCTACTGTGACGGGAATCGTTGCTGTGCACACTGACGCCGGACCAACAGCGGCAGTCATGTGTAGACATCAGACGCCGTGGCGACGATAACCATATCGGTACCAACAGAGACAGCAACGAAGACAGGGAGAAGAGCCAGGACGAGGAGGAGGAGGAGGATTGCGAGGACGACGATGACAGCGACAACGAAGGCGACGACGACGACAACCGCACCAACGACAACCACAACAAAGACAGTTACAAGAACAGCAAGAACACAGCAGCAGCAGCAACAACAACAGCCACAGAAACAGCGGCAGCAACAGCAACAGCTGCAGCAGCAGCAGCAGCAGCAGCAACAACCAACACAAACCTCAAATTTTGCGGCTACTTCTCTGCTGTGACTGCCTTGGAGACTGCTACCAACAGCCGCAGCTTTACTTTCCCTTTAACTAGTTTCATGATGACGATGCCAACGACGACGACAACGAGTACTCCCGACGCTACTGCTTTGTGTTGGTGCAGCCTTTGCATCCCTATTTCCCGAGGCCACACAGCTAATGAAGCTACTCGGTTGGAAGTTTTCTTCTATCACAAGAACTTCACTGCAGCAACTTACACAACATAAGCCTCCTTCGCAGAGAGAAGGACGAAGGACCCGGCCAGAAGCGCGATCTTTGCTTGCTGGCCCTCTCCCCGGGCGGCACCGATGCAGAAGTGGTTCGCGAGTTCAGCCTCGAAACGAAGGCTGGTCGGAGTGTTCTGTCATATCATAGTGCCGAAATAGTCAAAAAGTTCATGTCATTTTCGGAGGGCCCCTACATGACTCCATGGCCCGAATTAGCCCTACATTTTGCCTTGCAAGCCATGAGCCCGAATTTGCCTACGCGGGACCTTAGTCCGCGCCGCCGCCGAAATCCTCTGCCCAAAACCCGAAACCAAACAAATCCTGCCTCTTTCCAATCGAAAAACGAAACCTGCTGGGCACCGATATCAGCACTTCTGGTAACCCTCACAGTCATCCTTGTGGTAATCCTTCTCGTAACCTTCTAGTAACCCAGCCCCGACGCAACCTAAACCCGAAACCCCTAAACTCTAAACCCTGCTTGTCTAGTTGTGAGTGCTGAAACCCTAAACCCCTAAATCCTAAACCCTAAACCCCCTACAGCAACCGCTATCGAAATTCCTTACCGCAACCCCTGTGCAGAGGCCTTCATCCCCGAGTCGGAGAATGGCTTCAAGGTGGCCCGGGCTGTGGAGCTTATTAGGAGCGCCTGAAGGGCTCTAGTTAGGATTTAGAGTTCAGGGTTGTTCAAAAAAAAGGTTTAGGGTTTTCTGAGGATTTAGAGTTCAGCGTTTAGGGATTAGGCTTTAGGGTTTAGAGTTCAGGGTTTAGGGTTTAGTGTGTGGTGGGGATTTTTGAGCTTTAGGGTTTGAAGCTGCAGTGTTGTGGCATCTGTGACCTGTGCCCTCGCACCGTCCAAGCAAGGTGTGGAAGGAACTCTTCTGCGACAGTCTGTCAGTGAGAGCACTGAAGAACATGTGTGTCGCAGAGATTAGGGGCTTCTCGGACTCACCGAACAAAGCAACAAGCAACATCTACCTGGCAACATACAGTCCTAAGCTTAAGAAACGTCACCCGTAGTTGTGTTGCCGGAGATTTAGGGTTTCATCTTGGGCGTAAAGGACCTGAGCTGGAGGGACCCAGGGCTTATGCAATGCAGTCCCCCACTCAGATAGTCATAAAGTGCGGTTGACAAGCTTCTTAAAACCATTAGGGTGCTTCATGCAGGGAACAATGGTACTACTGCTCGGGCCTCTACCCAACGGTCCCTTTTTCTCTGTCGGTGCACATCGACCAAGGTGGGTGCTTGCAAGACGCGAGTTTCGTACAAGTCCAGGGACGTTCTCCTGATCGGGACACGCTGCCGCAATGGGGCATGCGAGGACTTAAACTAGATGCCAACAGACACAACCCCGGAATCCTACATACTTGCAGAACTCCATGTGAGAAAGTTTAAAAAGTAAGCTCCAAACTAAGAGGCACTCCGCTGTGGTCGCCTGAGGTCAGTTTTCTTTGGCATTTCATTGAGAAGTGATCCTCACGACCAAGTAGAGCAACAGTCATCACGAGCGTCACGTCTCCATCGCCGGCATCATGTTCAATACTCTCGTGTACCTAGAGACTGACATGTGTTCCACAGGTCTCGTGTACACTGTGCGTGCTGTCATGAGAGATATCTGATTTGTAACACTGAGGACAGACACAGGCGCAGAAGATGATATGACAGATTCGGGTTATCCCCGGCAAGTGCGTGAATGGAAGCGTGGTCTTCCTTTGAAGGATGCACCTCTGGTCTATGAAGCTGAGAAGAAGGACATTTCTTCCTTCGCAAGTCGCTACTATGACAGAGGATTCTTTCACGAGATGCGAGGGCGAGCCATTACATTCTGGACTTCGGAGTACTTCTGGCTGCATCAAGGCGAATGGAAGAAGGCGCGGGGCTCTGTTCAACCAAGCACGAGACCTGCATGCCGAACGTCTCAGTAGCAGTTCTCCGCACGTAAACCTGCGTGCCCCACAACGAGAGGCCAGAAATTGGATTTTGTTAGTCATCATCGTCATCATCACCAACATCGTCATCACAACAAACCACCGCAGTAGCAGTAGCAGCAGCAGCAATAGCAGTCGCAGTAGCAGCAGCAGCGGCAGCGGCAGCGGCAGCGGCAGCGGCAGGAGTAGTAGTAGTAGTTGTTGTTGTTGTTGTTGTTGTTGTTGTCGTAGTCGTAGTCGTAGTCGTAGTCGTAGTCGTAGTCGTAGTCGTAGTCGTAGTCGTAGTCGTAGTCGTAGTCGTCATCGTCGTCGTCGTCGTCGTCATAGTAGTAGTAGTAGTAGTAGTAGTAGTAGTAGTAGTAGTAGTAGTAGTAGGTGGTGGTAGTAGTAGTAGTAGTAGGAAGAGTAGGAGGAGTCAAATGCTCAGGGCCCGATTCCTCGATGTGAAAAGACAGCCTGACTGCTTGAAGCTTGGTATGAAAGGTGCCGGTGGTCTCAGCCGACAAAGTCATTGAGGTCCACAAGTACATGCTCGAGGATGGGCAGCTGCACGAGCATCGTAGTAAGAGCCCCCTCCCGTTTGATTTATGTGTGCACAAAGCGTCCATGATCATCAAACAGGGCTGCAATGTTGACCAGGATGGTCGCAAGGCCTGAGTAGTGCCAGCATCGAGTAGCATCATCGGCTGTGGGAGTTCGATGAGGATCGCAATGAGCAGCGACGGTGAACAGATCATGGGACCAACTAGCGAGAGAAGACGGTCGCATGCGGTCGTGTGGGCAGAGGAGTCAGCGTATGTACTAACATTGACAGTGAGGGAGCTTCCGAGAAGCTATTGGTGAGTTGGTGGACGGGCTGAGAGCTTTTTCGGGGCTTCCTCCTTTAACTCGACACGGAGGGAATGGACCTGGGAGCCGCTGCCCAGGAGGTGGAGAAGCTGGTTCAGCAGTTCAAATCACTGAAGAGCCAGGAGCGCTGCGCTGGATGTGACAACTGCTAGAGTCGGTTCCTTCGGCCGTGTCAGAAACAGGCGACCTACGACAGCAAGACCGTGACACTCACCGCGCAAGCTATGGTTGGTGCGAAGGCTGAAGCATGCAAGCATCACATCTTTTCAGAAGTGTCCTTCGAGATGATTTCTTTGGCTGCTTCAGGTTGAGGAGAAGTTCGACTTGACTTCCGAAGACATCGAGCGCGCCGTGGTCCGTTACCACGAATCCTGTCTGAACGGCACGAACATTTGGGCATGTGCAGACTGCGGCGAAACCTAAGCCAAGGAGGAACTGGCCACGAACAAGGACCCGACTAGCCAAGACGAGTTGTTGTATCTTGGAGGGTCGGGACCACTCTGCTCTGATTATTTGTCAGGAGTTTGCAAGTGTGAACATGCAAATGCAAAAGGCAATGTCCTATCTTATGGGCGTTGCCTGGATGCATCTTACTAGTCTTACGAAGCTTTGACCCAATACGAACCTGTCTTTGCTACGGGCAGCCAAGGCAGAGAAGGCCTGAAGCCGCACTTGGAAGAATTTCTGAATGCCCTCCGAGACATGCACCCTTTAAAAGGTGCAAGTCCCGGGCGACGCGCGTTAGATTGCAATGATTTTGCTTCGCCTTGGAGGACAGTTTGGCAATACTTTGCAGTACTGTGAACAGTTCGTAAGCTGCCAATTGTGCTTGAACCTGCAAGGCTTGACTGACGCTGCCCAAATATAAGTGTATCGATTGGTTGGGATTTCTGTGCTATTAAAACCCACGCAGAACCGGTGGCAGCGTCTCTTCGCACGAACACACGCTTCGATAGCAGTGACTCATTGTAGTCTGTGAAACTGGCAACGAGGAGGGCGTTGTGCTCCCGTGCTCTCCCTCCACTGCAATACTAAATTACTATGACACGGTCTGAAGGCCTGCCAAGGTGTTTTCCCACGACGCACAGGCCTTTGCGCATCCGCGCTGGTGTCACTGTCAGCTTGCGCGATGTTAGCTTCGCAAGTACAGCGCGGAAGCGCGTGGAGCATGTGCTCAGCAGAGTTGCGCCAAAAAGCTGCTACTGTACTGGGTGGATAGCGACTCCATTCAACATCCGAAACTTCGAAGCCTCTCTGCCATGCATCTACAAAGGGAAGTTGGTGCATGGCAACACCGTACGCTTTCTCGGTGACGGGCTTCGCATGTCGGGTGCCTCCACCTCCACCCCCGATCGATGGTCGTGAAGGGTCTCTTGGGTCATGTCACAGCTGTCCGGCTCGCCACTTCGGCTTGCTTGTAGCTTGGCGTCCGATCCACCTTCCACACCCCGCCGCCCTGCGCGACGGCCGTTGCTTCAGGATATCTCAGCAGCAATGATGGCACATGGCGACATCTTGAAGCCTTGCGTGATGAGTGTCAGCATGTGTTGCAGTTGGAGCTGTGCGAGCCGAGGCGCATGGCAAATCTCGCCTGTTCCCCAACAAAGGTGGTTAGTGACAATCTGGAAGAGCAGTCATTGTGCAGGGAATGAGTGGCATGACTTTGGTTGTTGGTGGATTTTCCGTCTTCCCCTCCAACTCCTGGACCGCTAAGTCGCTGACATGTTGGTTCCATCCGGGAATGAAGCTGCCGGCCTGCCTATCTTCGGTCAACATGAAGGCGGCTCAAATATGCATCCGATGGCTTGAGGTGCGGTCACATGGATGTAATGCTTCCGATGTCTCCCGCGAGGACTATCCGTTCACAATAGTCAGTGAGGTTCTTGTGATGGAGTTGATGGAGAAGGTGGAGGCACGGTCAGCTTTGGGATCAAAGCGAGTTCCCGGCTTTCCTACGACGGCACAGGCCTTTGTGGAAGAGGTCTGTGAAAAGTCGGACGAACCCGTCCAGTTCCAGATTCAGGTGTCCCTGGAGCATGCGAATGCTTGCATGTGCTCCAACGGACTCTAACGGACTTGTTTGTAGTACGTGCTTCTGCATCGTGCTTTTTGTCCAGGTGCTTTGGAACACAAAGGATAATAAGAAGGCCGCCGTGTCGAGTGTGACAATCATGCATGCCCGCCTGCAGTCTTTGCAAGGGCTCTTCACTCTGTGTTGTCAGCTGGGGCAGAGTAAGAGAAAACGGCCGACTTTGGAGAGTCTTTCTGAGTTCGCAATGATCAAACATTGTTTTGAACAAACATTCTACCTCCATCCATGTACTCTGTGGGACAAGAAGTCCAGGCCTTGAATCCTGGAGACAAAGTGGGAGCACATTTCGTGGATGGGCCTGGAGCCAAGCCGACATTTCAAGGTGCTAGCACCGCACGGACGGGCTGCTCCTCACGTTGAGCTCTCCAGCCACCGATGTCATTGCTCGGCTCCGTTTCGTGCCCTGCAAACAGTTTCACAATTTAAACTTGCTGTGCTGTGCCGTTGCAGGGACACCTTCGGCATTCATGGAGACATAGTCGCCGCACCAAAGCCACGTCCTGAGACACGTCTCTGCAAAATCTTTTTGTACTGCTCTGCTTGAGAGCAAGACAGGAGTTTCCCAAAGATACCCGACGAGAAGAAGCTGCCAGCGTCGCCCTTGGAAGTCTGGCAAGGGCACTGACACCGTGGCGGTGCATGACAGTTGCCTGGCTAAGGTCACCATCCTGACCGGCTTCCTCGGAGCCGGCAAGACAACCCTCTTGAACTACCTCCTGCAGGCATCGTGCAGCATAAATCGTATGCCAGGCAGCATGGTTTTGACCCTTGCTTGGCCGTCCTGGTAGCTGGGAACAGGCTCCTGACTCTGTCGTGTTCCATTCGGCTCAACTTGTGCAGCTTCAACTTGAGGCTAGGCTGTCGTGGTGTGTAGCCATGGCAACTATGGTGCGCTCGGCATCTCGATTATGCGGCTTGTTTTCATCAGATCTCATCAATACTCCTAGCAGCTGTAGTGAGCTTCGATGTCGCCGGAGTAACGGTGGCCGGAAGTAGTACGAAGGTTCTTGCCTGCCATGGCCCTAGCTGGACACACTCTGGGTCATAACAGTCGAAGTTGCAGTAGTCATCACAACATGCACGAGTGGCTCTCAGTATGCTACAAGCATCTTTTCCGCAGAGAGCCACGCAAACCTGGCCACGATCGTCACTCAGAATTTTCATCATAGTCCAACATACGAGCCCAACATCCAGGTCCGTGCGAAGCGAAGCAACGGATAAGATAGGCATCCTAGCGTCTGGTTGGGGACATGCGACCATGCAAGGGCAGCCGCAAGGTAAAAAGGCAAAGCAACCTTGAGACCGCAGCAAGACCATCCGAGGTGCTGTGCTCGGTGTACTTACCTTGGCCTCCGGTGATGAGTGTGAGGCGCGGCATTCGAAGTCGTTCCGAGACGACGCAGTGCTTGCATACTTTCCAGCATGCGCCCAGGCTAGTATGTCAATAGTCATTAACCCATATGCTCCATGTAAAACGCTGCCAGGCCGGTGATGAAGTCAAGCTTATGCAGCTCAATCAAAACCTTACCCGCGGGGACGAATGTCGGGGATTTAAAGAGTGTCCGCCATGGCCGCTACCATATAAGCTTGGCGAGCAGCTTGGACTGCACACTTCGTACAGTGGTTCACGGCCTGCCTGCTGCATGTGCGCAGGGATGAAAGCAGTGTTGGTTGTTAAAGAATGAGGTATCCGAAGAACTACCCCTGGGCGCCAATTCCAGAGTTTCCAGAGGGATTTGCCTGGGGACTCGGGACGGCAGCCTATCAGATTGAGGGAGCCTACAACGAAGATGGCCGTGGAGCCTCGATTTGGGACACGTTCACGGGGGCCAACACCGTGGGGATGCCGGGTGCTGTGTGCAAGAAGGCTCCATGCCCCGTGAACTCAGTAATAGCTGTGAAAGGTGCCACGGGCAATGTTGCCAACAATCACTATCACATGTACAAGAATGACGTGCAAGCCATGAAGTCCATGGGCTTGAAGTGGTATCGTTTCTCAATTGCATGGCCTCGCATCGTCCCCACAGGCACTTTCGCAGATGGCATAAACCAGGCAGGTGTTGATTTCTACCACAGCTTGCTCGACGAGCTAATCGCTGCGGGTGTAACCCCCATCATTACAATGTATCATTGGGATCTGCCGCAAGGACGCTAGCTGTGTTTGCTGTACTTGTTGCAGTGATCGAGATCAGAACCTCGAGCAAATGCCTGCTCCAGGACTGATGGACTTTGATTTCGATTCGCCAAAGGAACCTTGCAACGGTGGGAAAGAGGGCTGGTACGAGTGCAGCATGGAAAGCGGCGGCAAGCCAAAGCCTAGCGGCCTCAAGTCCAACATTGTGAAAGAGTTCACCAACTATGCAGAGCCCCTCAGATCCACTGTGAAAGTGTAAGATACACTTTTTGATTGCTTGGAGGCTTTTGGAATGAAAGGCCTTTTGCATTGCTGCCCTGGTTTCAGGTTTCTCTTGAAGGAGTACGGGTCCAAGGTCAAACTCTGGGCAACCTTCAACGAAGCGTACACCTTCACTTATTTGGCCAGTGGATACGGCAAAGCACCGTCGGCGCAGCCGTACATGGACATGGACATCTGGCCGTATGTGGCAGGCCACAACGTGATCCTTGGCCACCTGAGTGTGGTCATGAAGTTCAGGGAGTTTCAGAAATCGGGGGTCCTCACGGAAGAACATCGGATCTTCATCACCAACAACCAGGACTGGCGGGAGCCGCTTACGGACAAGAAGGAGGACATTGCTGCCGCTATGTACGAGGTGGAGCGTCAGCTTGCTTGGTTCTGCGATCCGATCTACGGTGTTGATGGTGTTTTCGACTACCCTTACTCCATGCGTTCGACTTTTCCATACATGCCATCTTTCACGGATGAAGAGAAGCAGCTTCTGAAGCAGAATCGTCCAGACTTCTTTGGCCTGAACCATTATGGAACAGGCTACGCCAAGTTCGAGGATGGCAAGAACGTCATAGTGAATGGCGATCTTGCGCAAGGCAAATCTTCCTGGCTTTATAGGGCAGCCTGGGGCTACCGGAAACTGTTGAACTGGATCAAAAATCGTTACGGCTCGGACCTGGAGATTTGGGGAACCGAATCTGGTTGGAGCGATGGCTTCGAGACAGCACTCGAATCCAAGCAAGACTGGGGCCGATTGACGTATTATTACACCTATATCTTGGAGATGCACAATGCCATCAAAGAGGAGACTGTTCAGTAAAACCCTCCCTTCGTGCCTTAGTGACGTTGTGACTCATGGAGACGGGATGGAGTAAAGGCATGAAGTACGTCTGTGCTTGCGGGTGCTTGTTGAAGCGGTTCTAGCTTACTCTGTTTGAGATGCCCAGTTTCCATGCTTAGCGTCTACATCTTTGCGGTTCAGAGTTCAAGGATCAAGGGATCTTGAAAGTCTCCGCTGTCTTGCAGGATGGAGTGAACATGAAGGGTTTCATGGCCTGGTCGCTCATGGACAACTTTGAATGGGAGATGGGCTATTCAGAACGCTTCGGCTGCTTGTGGGTCGACCTTCAGTTCGGTGAAGATCCGAATGCCCCCACAGCGGCAACTTGGTCCGCAACAGGGCCTCGTAGCATTCACACAGCAGCCTGTTCAGATAAGTCCAGGACTTCATGGCCCGTGCTGCTGCTGTGAGTGTACCTGTGAGTCCATAAGGCGAGCCCGATCTACAACGCATACTCCGGCAAGCTCGATGGAGTGTGCACCGACTGCGATGCTCCTAAAGTCAAGCCAGGCGCAGCGAATGCGCATAAACAAACTCGCCACATCAAGAACTCTATTCTGTTGCGCCTTGGATGGAACTTACTTGTCGTTTGCAGGTGCAGTCCTACTAGATAGTTCTAGAATGTGCATGCAGCATATGGAGGGGTTTGGCCACAGTAATGCCCGAGCCACTCGTGGACAGCTGTAAGATTTGTCGTCAAAAGGTTTCGACTGTGTCAACAGGCCTGTGTTCGTAGGGCTTCCAATCGCTGCATCCTATCTCAGGCTCATGTCCTTGTGGAAGAACAATGCACTGCCCAGTTTTGAAGACTTTTTTGCAGCGGCAACTGCCCCTGACATCTGTTTCGGCGAAGGCCAAACCGACACAACAATATGCTCCTGGGACGCAATGTCGTCGCTCAATGTCGCAACGTAGTCAGGTAGTTCTGCCGTCCGTGCGAAGTTCTCGGACCAGATGATGCTTCGCATATTCCGGTAGTTTGCTAGGTGCCATCGAGCACACTCATGCGAATCAGCATGGCCTTAGAATCTTTGATGTCTTGGGGTTGTGTAGCTCCCTACTGTAGTGGGGCGGAAGCACAAGCCCGTGGACCTCGGCGAAATTTGTGCAAAGCCACGTCATACTGAAGGAAACGTATGCTCAAAGTAACAAAGCTTCGCAGAAACAGCTCTATGCGAGACAGATGCTGCAGCACCTTCTGCCAGGAGCAGCGAGAGAAGAAGATTGCGGTGATTGAAAATGAGCGTGCGTCTCGGTAAGCCAGTGCTTGAGTGAAGGTGCGTCGAAGACTCGATTCGAAAACATGTCGGCAGTTTGCGATTCCTAAGCCAAGTAGATGCCGCTTGTGCAGTTCTGAGGTTCGGAGAAATATCCATCGACGACGCACTGTTGAAGAAGGTGCCTTCTCCGACAATTGTCTGGTTGCTGACTGTTCCGTTAAGCCTCAAGGCTTCTTTAAGATCAAGTTAAGTGGCAGGAGAGAGCAAGAATGAGTGACGACAGGTCTCTTAAGTGCAACATGTCGCCGGCATGTGAGCATCGGATATCTCTGGCAGGATAAGATTGCATTCGCCGAGAAGGTTGTAGCACGTGGCCCAGTGCAACGGTCTGCACTCATGGCAGCAAGTGTCCCAGTTTCGTCAGTGTTCTTGACCAGCAAGTCTCGGTCTTGCCAGAGGTTATGGACAATGGCAGTTGCCTTACTTATTGTGGAATCAGAGCTACACTTGAAAGACCATGCCCATCGCTGTGCACCTCACATTTGGAAGTGGCCGCGAAAGATATACAGCCGAAAGGTTGCGTGTGCTGCACCATTCGTGGTGATCTCATCGAAGGTTTCAGGCCTTGCTTGAAGGGATGTGTGGACTGCGTAGTCTAGGTGGAGTGGAAAAGCTGCTGCACCCTCCAAGCCTTGTAATAGCATGCAGGGTACCGATGCAAGAATCTGAAATGCATTTCGCATGGTTACTTGGCGGGTCACCTGACGCAGGCAGATTCTCGACGAACTTGAGAAGGGCCACCACCTTGATCAGATTGTGCTTGAGACCACAGGCCTTGGCGGTGGTGTCATTCAAAAGAGCATCTCTGTCGTTTTCATATTGTGCGGCTTGTGTTGTCCCGGATATTCTCGACTAGTCTGAATGTCGCGTGACCTTCCACGCTTAGCATGGCCAGCCCCCGGGGCCCTGTGCCAGGCATGGCTGATCCAGTTCCGATAGTCCGAACGTTGGGCCCATACAGCAAATGCAATGCCAGATAGTTAGAGCTTTTCAACGGCGTGCCACCGAGGTTCATGACTTCAGAGGAAATCAACGCTCGCTTGCGACTGGATGGAGTGCCTCAGACTGATTGGAGACAAAGAGCTGGCAACCACCGTGTTGATTGGTGGCAACGCAAAGGTCATCACAGTTGCAGATGCGAAGAATATCTTGGCGAGGATAGACGACGAGGTGGCCTGCTTAAACAACATCGGATCCGAGTCTGCACAGTGCAATTGCCCGACTCACCGACTGCACTCTGTGATGGGATTGCCCGGCCCTGTGTTAGGTTGAGGAGGGTCGCGTCAACGAAGCCTACCAGCAGGTGACCTCGTGGTGCAGGTTGTCATCGCTCTCAAGGGCTTGGCAGGGATCGTTTACTTCTGTTGTCCAGAGCTAGCTCCTTTGGAGCTTGTGGGAGTTGCTGTTTGCACCTTTGGATTTGGGTCAAAAGAGAGTTTAAGGGACCCTTGCTCCGAATACATCAGATCTAAGCGTCAGCACGTGGCGAGGCCCCCCTCACCCGACCTTATTCTGTGATCAATTCGAAGGCCGCTCTCCCGGGGAGGGCCTTGAGTCCCTCCTTGCCCCCTAACCCCCCTCAAGGGCTTAGTAAAGTACAACTAACAGCAGACCCGCTATCGTTCTGCGACATGGCCGCAGTGTATATCTCCATAACCGAAGACAGCAGCATTGCCCAAGACTGTTTCAAATTCACCGCAGTTTCTTTTTTCTGCCGACGCGTCGTTGTGCTTTTGTTTATTGCGTTGAGGAATGAGCTTCGTCATGCGTCGTTCAGCCCAGGCTGTAGGTGTTGTGACAAGGCATGCGAACTCAACAGCATACAAGGAGGACGGCATCATTCACATTCTCTAACCAGCATTTCTTCGGTAATGCACAGCTGCCCCTGGCTTTCGTCTTTCGTCCTGCAGGATTCCGTCGCCTAGTGCAGCTCTGCATCTCGATCATCCAACAGTTCTAGTTCCCGTGGTCTGTTAGAGGTGGCCTTCTGCGACAAGATTCTTTTGAATAAGCTCGACCTTGTGTCCTCAGAAGAGGCCATCAGCACGAAGGTGCGGTGGGAGTGACGGGAGGTCTTCTCCGATTGTGTGTAGTGATGTGTAAACAGACAGCAAACTCAGATGAAACGGTTCAGACATTTGCACAGATGCGCGAAAGACATGCTGCCATCCTGAGCACTAAGTAAGCCCAGGGCCCAAACTCGACTTCTCTGGTCCTGCAGCCCGGTTCCCGTCTTCAGTACGTCACTGACAGGTTAATTCGGAGGCATAATATGCCAAATTATGTCAAGCATGGAGGCATGACTGAAGACAAAGTGGAGCCCGCAGACTGACAACTGTTGCACTTCCGCAGGAGAGATTACGCGAAATCAACGCCTTCGCCAAAATAGTGCCCTCTGTCAGCCACCTATGAGATGCCAGCAGTCAGTCAATCTGATTCTGCAGATTCACGTCTGTAGGGCAAGCGATGCCTTGCATGGTCCGCGGAGGTTAAGGGCAGAGTGAAGCTTTCCGAGCTGACCAACTTGCGAGCTCATGCCTTCGCCTTACAAACAGGCATCTGCGATTCAACCGTAGCCCTCATGCTTTCCAGGATATGTCAAACTTCGTTCATGCCGATATCGAGAAAGAGGCCTTGAGAACAGGAAGCCTTGACCAGTTCATGGTCGTCTTTGAATGCTCCGCCGTGATGTCGGAGGCAGCGGAGCTGGAGGCCAAAGAAAACGAAGGCAAGCCACACCTTCACTCTCCGTCAAGAGAAACCTGACAAGCTGTGACAGGCCATGGCGATGGACACGATGCGCACGGGCATTCTGGACACGATGGACACGGTGGCCATGAGTCACACGGTGGAGGCCACGGCCATGATGCCGACTGCACCGAGGAGCCACGAGCATGCGGAAGGGTGTAAACAGGGCTTACGGTACTGAACTGCTGTGACAACGCGACACCGTCAGGAGCACGGCCACGGCGACGGCCACGGCCACAATGGCCATTCCGGCGGCCACGGGCATTCCGAAGGCCACGTCAGCGACGGTCACGGCAACGGGCACTCGGATGAGCACGGGCATAACGCCAAGAAGCGAAAGATGCCTGGCAGTGTTGGTTGTGTGTGGGATGTCATCCTGGCCTTTCGGAACTTTCGTGTGAATAAAGAGAGAGAGAGAGAGAGAGAGAGAGGCGTTTCTCGGTAAGGGGAGCAATCCTCTTGCCCCTAGCCCTGGCGAAAGAAAGAAAGAGAGAGAAACGCCAAGACGAGTGCCTCGTAATATGGGGGGCTCACAGTTGACTTTTTGCAATAGGGCGTGAGTTCGCAAGACATAGCCGACGATCGCCTTATGGAAGATGAGGCCCGGGGGGAACTAGTGTTCTAATGTTCTAATTTAGAAGGGGATACCAGAGTTGCGAAGACGGGGGCCTCATCTCAAGTAGATAACGCACAGACCAAGACCAGCAGGGCGCGCTCGCGCGCGGGAGGGGGCGTTGCTGCGCTTTCTCCTTGACTGTGTGGAAGAAGAGAGAGAGAGAGAGAGAGGTAGGGGGGCAACCCTCTGCCGTATCCCTGGGGAAAGAAAGAGAGACAGAGAGAGAGAGGGTGTGTGTGTGTAGGAGGGGTAACCCCTTGCACCACAATCCTGGCGAGAAAAAAGAAAGCAAGACATAAAGAAAGAAAAAAAGAAAGAAAGAGAGAGAGAGGCTTGAACATATCTTTTTACCGAAGACCGAGCATCCATATCTTCTTGAAAGCCCACACAAGGCCCCTAACACAGGGGTGCGCCATCCGGCGCGGGGTGCTTGACACGCACCCTATGCCCCGGAGAACAGAACAGAACAGAGAGGCTTGAAAAAGCCGGGAGCTTTGATGAATTCGCTTAAAGGGGGACCTCATACCTTGCATATCGTCAACCAAACAAGAGGTGTGCTCCACCCAACACAAGAGTGGAGGGCCGTTAATTAGCCGTCCCCACAAGCCTTGATTTGAACCAGCTGCAGTCGTAGGAGTGCGAGCGACCACAAAGGTTCACTTTACTCGTAGTTACTTTGCCCAACCTGCCTCCACGGTGGCACCCGCTCCGTACACTACTTTCACATCAGCTCTCCGTTGCACAGCCGAGCCCTTCTACCAAACTGGTGGAGAGGGGAGCGCTTCGGTGCGGGCCAGGCGTAAGACCTTGGTCTAACCCCTAAGCAAAGCAAAGCAAAGCAAAGCAGAGAGAGAGAGAGAAGTAGCCATTTTGGCTCAAGCCGCGAGTGCTCAAGGACGTGGGGGCCTCTCTGCCCTTTGCTGCCTTTCTCCACTTTCTTCGGGGCCCCCCGATCCTTCAACCCGGGCGCCTCTCTTCTTTTCACTCCTCGTGCCTTTCTTGCCGAGCGATTGCAGGGCTTCGTGAATAAGAGGTTCACCGTTCTACGAGACCATCGCTTCAACCAAGGACCTAGTTGTGCAACGCAGCTGTACGGTGGCCTCACGCAGTGCCTTAAGGACTTTGACATCTCTCTTCGCCTACGGGGTCGGCGGACCTACTCAGGAATAGTGCCTTCGACACGATTCAGGGGTCCATCTACCTCGGACGACCCGACCGACACCTCAAAGTTCGTGACTTGGGCATCGACATCAGGAGTAATATCCTTGCCTTCGTGGTGGCGTGAAGGGAATAGTGAGGGATATCCTTCCCTACCTGGCGAATATGGAGGACCAGCCAGAAAGACCCGGTGGGAGACACCGAGACCGGGACAGAGACCGCAAACGACGACAACGACGAAGTCGCTCCAGGAGCCGCAGCCGGGGACGAGACCGCGACAGACGACGACGCCGGGACCGACAAGAAACACAGACCGCGCAAAGGGTCGAGGCTGGGGAGGACCCCGTTCAAGACTTCTTAGATGATTTCTTAGGGGATGACCCCCGCCGTGCTGTGCCTGCCGTGGATCCAGTGCGAGCCTTTGCCAGCCCACCTGCAGCTTTGGTTCCCCCGCCTTTAACAGGTCCAACTCCGCAGACAGCCACTTCCTCCACTACGCCCGCCTCGAGCTCCTCCACGTACCCGGCGCCTTCGGGACCATGCACCTCTACCACGACCACAAGATCTTCGGTGATACGGGGACCCACCCCGCTGGAAGCAGGCGCAGACAGGGCTATACCTGGGGCCAGCCACAGACCAAACCAGGCGCAGGAGCCCCTGCCGCAAAGCAACACCAGAGATCGATGGATCAACGAGGAGTATGCCGCCCCCCCCCCCCACTGCCAATATGCAGATGCCCGACCAGCGTGATGCCACGGTGGAACCAACAACGCCCAGGACGAAGCGGAGGCGGCTTCCACAACTGGACTTCACCCTACCATCGAC